CTGCCACTGCCATAGCCACAGCTACAGCTAAAAAATAAAATACGTAATAAAAAGGGGAAAAGAAAACAAACGCTCTTACTCTGCTCTCTCTCTGTGTGCTACTGGAAACAACAAACAAAAGGCGGGCGGCCAGGGCACCCGCATACACCGTCACAATGGCTCAGGAAAGTTTTCACCAGTCAGGCCAGCCCACCAACCCACCAACCCACCCATTTGACCCACCGAAAGCGAAGACTGTATGCCGCTGACAATAGAAATGCGTTCGGAAAAGTTTATTTTATTTTGTTTTATACTATTTCTGTGCTATTTTTGGGGGGCGACGCACGAGTTTTTCATTTGATTTCCGCTTGCCACACTTTTTGTGACCACCCCTCTCTCTCTTCTACTTCTACTTCTACTTCTACGCCCTTTTGAGTCACAAACAGAAGCAGAAACAGGACCAGTTCTGGTACAGATTCAGGACCAGGACCGGCTCGGTCATTGGGCTAAAGAGCGTATGTTTGTTCACAAAAGGATTAAGTTGGGTATTGCACACACCACCCATTGGGAGCTGCTCCTCCTTCTCCTCCTCCTGCCAGAAGTTCGAGTTGAATGGAGAAATGGCTTCATTTGCGCCCATGGTAATGATATGGTGGGCAAACCCACTTTAAACACGTATTTATGCTGCTCCTCTACACTGCTCAAAAAGGCAGCTCAAAACTGTGACTATTTCGGATAGATTTCTGTTCAAATTTAAGGCCGAAAAGCAGAGCTATTGAACTTTTTGTCGAGTGGACTTTGAGATGAATATAAAACCCATTTGACAGACTAAGTTCCGGCTGAAGGTATGGGCATTTCTGGGTACCTCTATTTGGGGTTTTTTTTTCCCCTTCCTTTCCTCCCCCTCAGAGGACGTCACATTTGATTTCATTTGGTTAAGTTGTGAACGGCTCAAGTTACCCAAAACTCGATTGGGCCAACTTTTTGCGGTCTAACGCCTCTGACATGGCTGATTCTCGACCATTTGGCAATTTGATTATTGCGGGTTAAAGGGGTGGTGGAAGGAGGATAAGGGTAAGGGGAAGTTTATTCAATTCAATTAAAGGCAGTCGATAAACGAATCCGATTTGCTTGGTTAATGCCCAAGCCATAAATCTACATTCTGTGGCGGCAATTAAAATTTATCTTTAATTGGCACGTGTTGGCCAGTTGGCCAATTGGCCTGGCCCAAAGACCTCCAACCCGCCAACTCTTAACTGGCTTCTTGAACTTTGCCAGAGTCTTATCGGGATTCGTAGCTGGGATCCTGCTGGTGTCCGGATCTCACCAAAGCGGCGTGGTGCTTGGCACACCTGCCGCTTAACTCCCCGAAAGGAGAACTTGCGATTACAACACACACACACACACACACATGGGCACACCTAATGGGGCTGCAAAAAGGAGCAAATTGTAATTCGGATTTAATTGCCTGTTAACACGCACCCGCGCATAGCGGGCATGACCGGTAACAGCTCGTAAAAAACGCGCAAGTAGAATGAAAAAGACAGACGCTGAGTTTGTGGGGGAGGAGAGAGAGAGAGCAGAAAAGGCAGCAAACCGAATCTTGGATACTCTTTACTTGCTGGATCATTAAAGATTCCATTAGCTGTATATTCCCCTTGAGGAAAAGGGTATTAGATGGCCAGCCTTTAGGCGTTAAGTTAAGTTTGAGTTAACACCAAAGGGAAAGGTAAAGGGAAACTGCTTGGCATAAAGTGAACAGAGCTCGTAATTTACCCAGTTTGAGATTTGAATTTTTTGGATTTTGGTTTAGGCACTCGACGGGGCTCAGCTTGACTTCACGCCTTTGGCAGACACAAATCAAAACTGGGCTGAGGAGCTCCCAAAAACTTTCGACCGATAAGCTGGCCGCGAATATAGTTTGTGCCACAAATGGTTGTTCTTTTGTGAAATGCTTTGAATTGCTATTAAATTTGCCTGAAACATTGAGGGTAGAGTAGGGTGGTAGGCTATGGCCGCAACGCAATAAGGATGGCAGGAACCACATCAACATCAAGGTCCCGCCGGATACACAACCGGATGGCTATAACTACATATTCGTTCAGATATACACAGATATATATATAAGAGTTTGTGGCAGAAAGGCTCGAGCCGGAACGAAAGAAGTGCTGAACTGTGCATAAAGCGCAGATAGACACGGAGATATGTGGCAACTGACATTCATTACGACATAAATTCGTTTAGTTGCTTGGACCCAAAGCCGTTCCTGGTACTAAGAACTAAGAACTGAGAACTGAGAACTGGGTACTGGTGGGTAGTGAGAACTTGGTGCAGGGACTGGGTGCTGGTGCTGGTACACTGGTGTCTGAGATACGGCAGATAAGACACAAATGCCGATGCCAATGTCGACAGCAACAATTTCTTGGCTCTGCCCAACTTGCCACACTGCAATGGGCCATTAAGTAAGTGCGTCCCAGGCACTGGAGTAGGGCGGGTGGAGGGAGGAGATGCAGGCTGAGTCGTAAGTTGCAACCCAGTAAGTCTGTTTGCATGCAAATAAATTAACCATATACCAGCCATTGCCACGCTGACATGGCCCGGCAACCTGTGCAAGGATGTGTGTAATTTAATAAGTTAATAAATGAATGAGGAGAAGGAGTAAGAAGATGGAGGAGTAGGAAGAGCAGGAGGCAACGCTATAAACTTGCAACGCAGGGAATTATGAAAGTTGCCTGCCAAAAGGCTGAGATGGAGATAGGCTGACTGGGCAGGCAGCACAGGTATAGGATGCCGTCAATGTGGTTAACCCCAGATCAATCTGACCAATTGATGCATGCCCCTTATGCCCCAACAACAACAATGAGGTGTTACTGGAAAGTGGCCAACACAAATCACTATCTGGGCGGGTCAGCAGCTTGCCTGACTGACTGATTGAATGTGAGTGAGTTGTGAGTCGAAGTCAGTGGAGCTCAAAAGGTGGCCAAAAGCCAAATCCGAACTTGCACATTGGGTCTGGGGCTGTGCAAGGTTAAAGGTGCTTCAACGGGCAAGGAACGACTGACTGTGCTGACTGCGCTGGCTGCTCTGGCTGTGCCACGTACGTCCTTAACGATGAAAACATTACACAGCTTTGCCTAATTGCCCACTTAAACGTCAGTTAAGGCATGCACCTAAAGATCCATACAACCCAGTCACCCTTCCTCCCACTCTCCCACACAGAGAATGCCATGAAAACGTGCACACACGCACACAGCTCGCTGTCAACACTGTTGCAACAACAATGAATTGAGCGTTTTATAAACAAATGAAACAATTAATTTGATTCCACTCTCCAGCCAAATCCTATTAACTGCAACGTAAAAGAAATGCTTTCACCCTGCCCCCCTTCGCCACTTAAGCATGTCTATATGTATGTATGTGTATGTATGTGTTTGTGTGAGGATATGAGAGTGTGAGTGTGAGTGTGTGTGTGTTGCTGCTGCCACTTTCATGCATACTTAATTTGTCAGCTTGGCGCAGGTTTACACCCATTTTAGATATCGTTAACTAACTAACTGTTGCGTCCGCCCTACGCCCTTCGCCCAGCGCCCTTGAGGGAGGACATTCTAGCCTCTGGCAAAGGGATGAAGAGATGGGGGAACGGATGGGTCTAGTCGGCGTTGGCCTGCTGAATTTATGGCCGCTCACATATGGCGCCGCAAGGTGTTTCCATTTAAATTTTAGGGCGGCTTAAGACAGCAGTTGAGTTATGCATTGAAATTTAAACTATGCATGTGCTCAGGGCTAAAAACGCACAAGCAAGGTGGCAAGGTGGCAAGGTGGCAAGGTGGGTGGCAAAAGGGGATGCCAAAGGACTCGCGAAAGTTACTTCCTAGCTGACAGTTTCGAGAGGAAGACCTCGTGTGTGTGTGTGTGCTTGTTAGTGTGGTAATTAGAAAATTTTATGTGATTACATAGCCACGTGTAAGGAGCGGCGTACCACGGGGCGGATGGTTGACAAAAAGAGCGACAGCAACGGCAACACGGCAATGGCAATGACGGTAGCCAATGAGTTGGGGGAAAAGTACAAAAGCGCCTATTAGAATATTAATAGAATACTAAATATAACGTCAAGTGTGTGCCGCCATCATACCCTGAAGTAGCCTGCTCAGTATGTTAGGACACCTTTGTCTAGATGGATCCCTGATAGAAGGGTTCTATGGAAGCAGGGAGCAGGTAGCAGGTGGCAGGGAGCTAGGACTAACCTTGAATCCATCTATCTATCCTAACCTAAAAGCAAAGACTAAGCTAAGCCTGTCTGGTTAGCTGCTGAGCTAGCCATTAGCCATTAATGTTGCATGAACAGCAGGATGCAGCAGCATCTCCAGTCGAAGCTTTTCAATTGAATTGACAAACGCGCGCGGCAAACTTCAGTGCTGGCAAAGCTTCTGTAAGCAAGGCAAGCAAGCTCGTTTCAGCTCAAAACAAGTTCTTGGCTCAGAGAATAACTCAATTTAGGGGGGGGCCCGAGGATTCGTCGTGTGCCATCGTCGATCTCGTCGGTAACTCCCACAACAACGATGACTACGTCGTCGACTGCGACGACTACGATAATAAGAACGAAGGCAAGACCACGACTATGACTACGACCACGATGACGACCACATCATTTGTACCGGCTGGGTGGGCAAGAAGACTGGTAGTCTTCTCCTCTGTCATCGTCACTTTGCCTGTGGCGGCGGAGTCTTTCGCTTAGACGCACCCACAAAGCACTTGCCACACTCTGCTTGGCTCTACTCTACTCAGCGCTACTCAGCTCTGGTCTACTCTACTCAGCTCTAGCCAAGTGGTGCTAGAAGGCGTTAACCAACGAGCACTCGGCTTGAGTTCTCGTTTTGAGCGCTTTGCTGGAAAAAGTGCGCACAATCCCGGCCGTCGAATTAAAAATCCGTATGTCCAACCAATTGCAGAGTCTCTGCAGGAGTTGTTGTTACTTTTGTTTTCCTGTTTTTTCTGTTTTTTCCAGCTTACAGCCAGCCAGCCATTGATTTCCGAATAGATTTAGTTAAGTTAGTTGGTTGGTTTTTTGTTTTACGCATGTATTTCTTTTCTTTTCTTTTTTTTTTTAGATATTATTTTGTGGTATTACAATATATGTGATATAAAGATTTCGTTCGTATTCCCCTTTATCTCCTATATATATATATATATATATATGTATATAAACATTATGTTCTTCCTAAATCGTGCTAAAAAAAATAAAAAAATCAACAACAAATTACAACTTAATGGCCCTTTAAAAGCATTTGCATTTGGTGTACATACATACAGATACATATACATTTATTTAGTTAGTTTTTAATATATATATTTATTTTGTTTATTTTTATATATATATATTTTCTATATATCTATATATATCAGTGCTCTCACACTTGACAAATTCAACGGCAATTTCATATTCAACTCTATTAATAATCATATTTTATACTCATATTCATATCCATAATGATATCTATATAGCCATAATGATATTCTTTTAATCGTATCTTTTACTCATATTCATATTCTGTATCTGTATCTGTATCTGTGATCATCTATAGGTATGTATGTATAGGTATAAATAGCTCTTTTGCGATTCATTGGATGATATTTCATTGTCTTCGTATTGTGTTTTGGTTTTTGGTTTTTGGTTTTGAATTTCGATTATTTCTGATCTTGATTATTATTATAAACATTTCTCTAGACTTTCCTTTCCATTGCGAGATTATTATCTACATGAGAATACAGTTACCAGTTTACAGTTTACAGTTTTAGAGTTACAGTTTACAGTTAGAGTTACGTGCTATTTCAGTTTACTAACAGATTGCTGCAGTTTGAGGGAGAGGAGGCAATGGCATAAGGGTTTCTTCTATGTTTTAGACAGTCTTATGTACAATATCTCTGGACTGCTTTGTGGGGAGGGGTAAGTGGTAATGGGAAATGGAAAAACTATAAGAAATACTTTCCTTCAGCCTAAGCTGGGACTTTAGAAGGGCTTTAAGTTCCCTTGATAAGGCAGGCTAGCTAAGAAATCTGTTTCTGACTTCCAACTTAGTTGAAGGGATTTAACGATCTACTTTCGTTTATGGTTTATGTACTTTCGCCTATATATATATATATGTATTTTACTCCTTTAGTTAGTTAGTTGCTTGGGTTGATATATAGATAGTATATGTCTATAGGGGGAGTGGGGGAGGGGGGTAAAGTGCCTAAGTCTCCGAATTGCCTTTTTCGTTATACTAAAACACAACATCCAAGTGTCTAAGAAGCTCTTGATTTTGTCCATCGAGTTTGAGTACAAATTCCCTCGAGAGTATGGTATGTTTAGGGCGGGGGTTTGGGCTATGAACGATTATGAACGCCGGATGTACGTTGTGTTTGCCATTAATTTTGGTTTCTATACCGTTTCTATGTTACAATTAGCAATGCCTGTGGTATGGTGTGGTGTGGTGTGGTGCATACATCTATCTATAGGTTATGATCTTGCTTAGCCTCCCTCCTCCTAGCCGGATCTATTGGATGTGAACGATGTGGACGATGTGGATGTGGCTGTGTGCCATCGTGCAGTGTCGTGCAATCATCTGCAGACCGTGGAATCATCACCAGCACATATTGAATGCGGAGCGGCTAGGAAGAGTTTGCCATTGGAGCAAGCGCAGAGCTGGAAGACGCGATGCATATGATCCCGGCTCTGGGCAGTGCCCAGAATGGGCGGCTGAGCCGTCCGCAGATTGGGCATGAGTATCTTTGAGGACTCCAGACGTAGCTGCAGGGGATAAAAAGAGCACATAGAAAGGAAGGGAATGGGTGACTTTGCTACTACTTTGCTGCTTTTTTCACAGGGAATCTACATATGGTAGGGCTGTAGGTAGAGATCTCTTTTAATCATACTTACGCTCCCATCGAGGGCTCGGAACTTGACGTCTTCAAGGGCAACGACTTCTATGCCTCCAGCCCGCGATTGCAAATTGATGTCCTTGGCCGCCGTCATCTCCAATTGGCGGGTTGGCGATTCGAGTCTGTAATTAAATCAGAACGAGAAATGCATTGCAATGCGTGGCGTGGCATGGCAACTTGGTTAGTCACTGAATGGGTACAGTTCACAGGTTGTCCCAGAATGGTAGTGGCCTGGCTGGACCACTCCCCCTCCTGTCTGCCTAATGAAACGGAAAGTCGCTCAATTGCGGCGGGAAATGCATGAATGGTGGGGGCCTTAAAAACATTGCAATTTCAATTTGAATGCCTGATATGACTTTGCGTTGACAACGCTTTCGGCTGTGGGCTCGTCAACTCAAATATTTCTCTGTGTGTGTGTGTTTGTGTGTGTATCTGTGTGTGTGTATCTCTGTGTTTGTGTGTGTGTATCTGGGCGCCAGACAATTTGTAATTTTCATGAACCAACAGGCAGCTATCACCAAATTTGTCAATGAAAATGTTATTACAAGCCGCCGATCCTGTTAATGGTATACATATGTATGTGTATGTGTACACAGAGGAGGCCCCTTTGGACTGTTTGGGCGCATAATGCCATCCAACTGCATGGCACCGCCATACCATAGCCCACTACCAATCCCAGTCCGATTCCCGGCGTTAGCCTGCCTGCCAAACAGGAAAAAAAAAGGTCTGACGGCCCCTTTAGCACTTTTTAATTCACTGCCAACGTTTGTGTACATTCTGACAAATGTGTATAAATATTTTCACTCCCCGCGTGAGCTCACTGAGCTGAATACCGACACCTTGTTGGGTGGGGGAACAGGTGGAAGTGCAAGTGCACCACCCACTTGACTGCCGTTTTTGTGAGCCGCCATGGGGGGAGAGTGCGCTGTTGTGCTGTTGTGTTGTTGTTTTTGTTACCGCAAAAGGTGACGTTGACAGAGGCGCACGCAGCAGCAGTGTTTGCTTTTAATTTTTTTTTTTTATTTCTCAGATTTCCCCCCAACCCAAGAACGACTAATATGCCACACAGAATGCCATGCCACATGGATGCTGTGCTGCTGCTGCTGCTGCTGCTGCTCTGTAAATTTATTATAGTCATTGAATTTCAACGCCGGACTGCAGTAGATTGGCTTTCGATTTCATTTACTTTAATTGGCCATGACTTTGGCATTCTGTGCGAGATCGTTTTGGCCCCCACCGAGTCAAGTCGCCAACTTCACTACTATCCTTACTACTTTCTACCTTATACCAACTTACCTTAACTCCCGTCCGGGCTCGGCCCGTACATGAGGTGTCTGAACGGACTCTCGAAAGACGGCACCGCCCTCGCCGTCGATCCGCAGGGCATGAGCTCCGATTGTGACTTCATTGCGGTTCACGGAGAAAAGGCTGCGTCCGTTGGTGTCGTTTATGCGAAAACCCGCGGACAGGCACTCGAACTTGTCGTGTCCCAGAAATAAATGATTCTCAATCATACCATTCGGGTCACGTGTATTGATTGAAAAATTACGTGATGATTCTGTTGATGTTGCGCCAAGGAATCGAAAAGGAAACAGGAATACAGATGCATTAGAAATGAGATAGAAATATAGAGATAGAGATAGAGAGAGAGCATATATAGGAAGTGTTTGCAAGGGAAAGGGGGAGGCTGAATTAATCCAAATGTTTGACAAATGTGGGTAACTTTAGCCCAGTAATTGCAATATAAATAAGTAAACGCTGCTGCTGCTAACTGGTTAAGATAGCACGTAACAAGACACCGGAAACGGAAATCAAATCTCCAAACTCTGCTCTTGCCGCCCGCCAGCTTTTGTCTAAACCTTGGACTTGGCCATCGCTCTTGGCTATCAACTATCAAACAGCCATCGCTGACAGCTGCCACCTGGTGGTGGTTCTTGGCGGTTCCTGCTGTTTCCTGCTGGTTCTCCGCCATAACCTATGACCCCACTCTACGGTTTCGTATCCCATTTGCCCATCTGCAATAGCACCAGCAACCAGCAACCAGTCACCACCCACTTCCGCGCACGTATCTGCGGTTGCTGTGCTGCTTATCGCTGCGGGAAATGCTCTGATGCTTTTCTCGGCTAGCATTTCCCTGTCGACACATGGACGAAGGTCCCTGGGAAATCGCATCAGTCTTCTTGCCTGGCCCTGCTTTCATATGGTTTATCTGTAATTGTACATCTTGCAGCTGGGGCTGCTAGGTAGGTAGCCAAACTCTGCTGGAGCGCAGCAACAGCCCCGATCTCATTTACTATCAACGCTTAGCGTCACTGATTTCTTGTGCTGCCCTGGCCAGCTTGCTGAACATTCTTGATATCTGTTGATTTATGTCTTGGACTGGCACCGGCACACATTTGTCCTCGTGCAACATCTATTTGCACCTGCCTATGGATATATATATATATCCACACACCTGTCCCATGAATGTTTAAGCTTGCCCTCGAACAAGGCAAGGGGGGGTGGGTAGAACAAATGGGTCTGCCAATGTTACTCGGAGGAGGCTGCATAATAGCGCGGCCAGCAGCGCAGTTCATTAAACATGCGCAGGATGATGCAGTGAATGGCTCAGTCATGGGATGATGGGTGTCCATGACTTTGACATTAGTCGAGGAAGTTTAACTGTAGCAATGTCCCTTGAAACCTAAGCGATGACCCATCATGGGGTGACCACGATCTGACCAACCGAACCGCCGAATGTGGGGGGGAAAACATGAAGTGTACAAATTTATGAAATGAATATTAATAGGCACAAGCCTAGCGCAGGCTGGCAGTGAGTGAATCTAAACGAGGGTTGCCTGTACGGTGTTTGTTTGCAGCTAATCGCTCGATAATGCCAGAGGCGTTCCACGGAAACGCAATTCACACTCACTCACTCACCTATCGAGATGGGCTGGCCGTGCCGCGAACGGATTGTAGATGCACGCAGCATGTCCATAATTATCGCTTGTCCCGACAACTGTATGCCACCGGGTACGATTTTCAGCTGACCCATGCCCTCCTGGAAGCGTTAATTGGACAGTTAGTGATGGGATGGATTGGTTGTGGGTGGTGGTTTATAAAGAGGGAGAAAGAGGGGTGTTTGGGTGCTTGCCATTACCGTTGAGAACTCCATCACTTTCAGTATCCAAAGGGTTAGAACCAGATTTGTGATGATGAGCAGCATTAGTAGCAATAGCAGAGTGTACAGGCACTTTTTACGCCAACCAATAAGGCCCAAATAGGTCTCAATACCGCCAACGAATCCGTTCACATTGGACCGTCCATTGGCACCGGCACTGCGTGGTGCTCCTCTCGCAACATTGGCATGGCCATGACCATGACCATGGCTAACAGTGGCTTTGCCCGTCGTTGCCGCTGTCACAGTGGTGGCAGTCATCGTGCTAGTGCCGCCGCCTCCAACTCCACCTCCAGTTCCGCCTGCTCCTTTAGAGCTTGGAGCTCCGTTACCGCTGCTGGCTCCGCCGGTGCAGCCAGTTGTCATTGAGCCAGGACGATGGCTGGTGGCTTTGTGCGGTCGCTTGGGCGTGGTGCCAACCGATAAACGCCGCGAGTTTTGGCCAAAGTCACTGATCTCACTGCCGCCAGCAGCCAACATTGCTGAGCTGCTGAACTGCCGCTAGTGGCTGCATGGGAAAGTCATGTCTGTCTGGTCTTTAAATATGGCCTGTAAGAAGAGAGAGAGATTGAGAAGGTTAGAAGGGGTCACTAAGGGGTAGTTAAAGTTACTGAAAAAAAGAGAGAGAAGGAAATCTAAGAAGATCGTATGACCATAAATCTGGTTTGCGAAAGGTGCTGCTTTATGAAGTCTGAACAGTGGACTCTGCCACACACACACGGGTGGCATTAAAATATGCAGCAGGCTGTGGCAGTTAGCCTTCAGTGGAGGCACTGCAACTGCAACTGTAAGTGCAACTACAGCAAATGCAGCCGTTGATGACTTTAGTGGCGTCAGCTGTTGGCGACTTCACACGTGCAGCTCTTCAATTATGCATGCCTGCAGCAACGGCAACTGCATTTACGAACTGCCGACTGCAGGTGAGTGTGTGAATGTGAATGTGAATCGGAATATATATATAAATATATATATATATATTCTGAATGAGAATGTGAGTGGGCGGGACATTTACATGCATGAAATGCATGTGGAAATGACGAGGGGAGAGCAGGCGGCAGGGGGTATTTATTAAACCATTCTGTCAAAAGAAATCATAATAAATAAAATAAAAAGTCATAAATGAATAAATTATAGACTTTTTGCTCGTGAGGCTCATAAATAAATAAATAAGCAATTCAAGAATAGCAAGTAAATTATTTTCCAGCCAATCTCGTGTCAAAGGTAATTACACTACCCTCTCGTTTGGCTTTAAAACAGAAAGGTTGAAAGTTCACTATACAGCGCAGGTCAAATTAGATCATGCTAGATCTATGAGTCTATTATTAGGATCGAAAGACCGCCCCCCCTTATCCACCCCATTAGCTTCTTCTTAAAAACCAATCCGCTCGAGTTATGAAATACATTTTCTGCTCGCTCAATAAAAATGTATAAATAAATATATAGATAGATAATTTGGTCGCTTTAGATATATATATCTTTGGCAAAGTATCTACGATCTAGTAGGTTATAGTATGAATGATGTTTCAGTGGCAAAACACTTTGCCTGCTCGAAGGCTGAAAAAAAAAGATTCCACCATGTGTACTGAGTAATTGCCCGTAAATATATTTTTTACGATCTGTACTCTTGTGGTCACCTTTGGGTAGATCTCTCTTCTAGTCTGTGACCCTGTATCAGTTTTAGTTTTTATTTTGTTTATGTTTATCATTATGTTTATATAGTCTGCCTGGGCCATTACTTCGATTGTTTACGGTTTCAGTTTTAGTGCATTCAAAGTGGCGAAGAGCATAGACCAGTGACCAGTGCTAGGCGGCTGATTATAAAAGCTATTTGGGTAAAGGATTTGAGATTGTGGTCTGGAATCTGGTAAATGTTAAGAAGCAAAGATGGGGAAAAGGGTTTTCCCTAAAAGAAAGACTTTACGCAGCCTGCAATTCAGTGGGTTAAACAGCAAAGTCGTCCCAGCTGCTAAGCAATTAACAGGAAACAGGAACAACAAACTCCACACTCTACAAATTGTGTTATTTATTTTAAAAGGTTTGACTCTGCTGGCAGTCTAGGCCCACTGGGTAGATGCACTCAGAGAAATGCCACACTTTCTGTAGTAAAAACTCTCTTAATAAGTTAATAAGCTTGTTAATTACCAATGAGAAGCAGTTTGTGCTCTATAAGAAAGTAGAAACTGGTTTAAAATTTATATATTAATAGCTTAAACTTTCTTTTTCTTCTCGTGTAATCATTTCCATTCCCCAGCCATGGCCAGTAATCTGAAAATTCAAACAGATTCCAAGCCGGATGAAGGCCAAGGATCGTGCTCTGAGAATTGTTCAAGGGAGCTGAAGGTGATTTAGTATCTGCAGACAGGCGGTGGGTTATAGCACGCACGCAAATGGAATCAGAAACGGAATCAGGGATCGGAAAAGTGGGTAGAGTGGGTAACTGGGAAACTGGGAGTTAAGGACAAAGTGCAACATGAACTCCGCTGGGCATAAGCATCACGTGCGGCACGTTATAGTAAAGTTGCCCCATACAGTTGGCCTTCTACTCTCGCTCTCGGTCTCTCTCTTAATTTTGTTACTACAACTTCTTCTTTTGCTTCTGCTGATGGTGCTGCTGCCACACGTTTTTATTGCAACTTGTGTCGTCACATCCATGCACATTTTCCCGTTTACATTGTGATATTCATGGGAAATGAGACTGCCCCCGTTGTGCGTCGTACCACGCAGGATGTGTTTGCGGACAGGATTTGAATTGGTTTTTTTCTGCCCCCGCCTTTGGTCCAAAGACCAACTCACAGATCATGACTGATATTGACAGACTGACTGGGCCATAAACATTCCGAGCTGGCACGAGTAGTTTGGCCAAAAACGAATGCAATTTAAGGCCAAATTCTGGTAGATTGGAGGAGATTGCCGTTCAACCGTTTACAAGAACCAACACTTGCTTTCAGCCGTTTATACAAAATGAACTCGTAAATGGAAAATATTGCATTGTCCTGCTATTAAGTTATCAACAAGGCCAGACATGGGACGGCAGGATGGACGCAGACATGACCGGGGACCCATATGCAGATGTGGTTTGGGGAGGGGTGAGGGCAAGGAAAGGGTTACGTTACGTTACGTTACTTTACTTTACTTTACATTACCAACTAGCAACTATCAACTAGTTGGGGGATGAGCAGGCTGGTGCCATGGCACGTTCCTGGTCCCAGACCCGGACCCTGAACCTAATACCCATACTGAGCCGTAGTCCCAGTCGGCGTCGTGGTTTCGGACATAATACTACTCCGTATTCCGACTCTAGCTTCTAGCTATGACTATGACTACGACTCCGGGACAGCAGTTTCATATATTTTGCAACCATTTCATGTTGTGTCTTCTCTGGGTGTGCGTGCGTGTGTTGGTGCAAAAGGTGGTTCGTTGTATGTAGTTGCCACACTTAATGGCGCTCGTACGTTTTGGCAGCAGCAGTGGCAGTGGCAGTGGCCGTAGCAGCCGTAGCAGCCGTAGCAGCAGCCACACTTGTGTCATTGTTGTACTCGCATGTATATTGTTATGTCCTTGTTGCCGCCTGCAGGACATTTTTATTCCAATCATGCGTAAGTGGCGTAAGGTCCATAAACCTTAAACTTTCCCAGCACCCATGAGGGGCTCGGGACCTAATAGGCAGGGGAGACCCTTTGCCGAGGAGGGTTTGGCCTGCCATTCATTGGCAAGGCTCCAGCTGTGCTGGCTTTTTGGCCTAACATGATTGTCGAGATTAAAAAGTGGTTAACATGCTGATTGATCATGCTTCTTTTTGAGGTAGCTGATCAACCTAAGACTTCAGCTTATTAGAAACTGAAACTATTCTTTAAGCCCAGCTAACTCAGAAGTTTACCCTAATCAAGATCATATACGTACTGTAACGTTTGAAGTTCTTAATGGCTTAGCTAAACGGGAATCTTTATGGATCTTTAATCTTTAATCTTTGATCTCTTTTCTGGTTTTCAATAAAAACACAAACACAAAAACACTCTCAAAGTCTGATCGCGACGACGCGCTGACCTTCACAATTTCAATCGCCAGCCATGAACGAAAGATCGCAGCACGTACGTCGTAAAAACACCACAGAAAAAAAAAAAGAAACGCACTCGAAAGTAATATTTTTGAAACACTTGAACTTGGAAAAACGCTTGGTGGAAAAGTGTCTCTCACAGAGTGTGTGTGTGTGTGTTGAAAAGCGCGCACGGTTACCGTCCTCTTTCACGGTTTCACAACAACTGACGGCAGAACCAGCCAGAATCATTTGCCGGAATTTTTGCAAGCAATTCGTTTCGTGAACGAGAATGGAAACGCGAACAAGAATGGGAACCATATAGCACACAGCCAGTAGCTGGCAGTAAAGCGGTTTCGGCTTCGTGTCCGCAAAGCTTTCACACGAGCGGCATAGCCGAATGGGTTTCACTCAAACATCGGTTGGCTGAGGACGGCCGTTTGGCAGTGCCCCCCCGAATACCCATCATTGAATCGTCCTCGTTCGGCACCACTCGAGTGGTTCGGCCCTCGAAGTTTGTTTACATTTTTGGGCCAAAGCGAAAGCAACACGTGGTCAGCGAAAGCCACGTGTTGCTGTCTTGGCCAAGAAAAAGAGATCTCTAGAGGAGAGCAGAAGGAGTTAGGAGGGTGCCAGTCTCGGGGTCTTAATTCGAAACCGGAACTTGATTAAAGTTTTGCCAGAAATTTGTAAATTATTTAGTGTGATGTGTGGAGGTTTCTGGTGGGTTTTTGATGCACTCGAAATAAGATTTTTTGGCTATAAGACTATATCTTTTGTGATAAAAGTTGGACTAGGAATGGATGTTAAATGTCTCTAAAGAAAACCTCTTCTTAGTCTTAGGCCTACTAACTAATATTTTTAGACTTTACTATCTTAAGAAGTTTCAAGTTTTTATTCCAAGTGTTTTCAAATGGGAAAGTCTCTGCCTTCTTTTGTCCTACAAAAAGACAACCCCCAGCTATTTGGAATCCCAATTTTATTCAACCCTTTCAACCCTTTGCTAGCACCGAAACCCATGCGTATTTATAAATTAAAAGCGTGTTCATCTTTGGCCAAAGTTCATAATTTTTGCGCCTTTATTGGGAGTACGTTGGCAGAAGGGGGCGGTAACTGCCAGCCAGCCTGCCTGCCTGCTTGCCTGCCACACACTGGGGCTCGCCTTTGTTTTTAAGCCAAGCTAAACTCTACACATTGGGTTGGGTCCAGGGTCCTTCTAATTGTCCTTGCCAACAGCTGCTGCTGCTGCTGCTGCAGGAAAAGGAAGTGGGTTAGGGCTGGGGTCGCTTCAGGTCAGATTCGGAGGGAGAGGAAAAGGAAGAGGGAGAGGGAGTGGGAGTGGGAGTGGGAGTGGGAGTGGGAGTGGTAGGTGAGCCTGCAATTGTTCCCCGGAGATCTGGGGAGCTCTGGGCGGGCGATCAAGGCAAGGCGCAAGTGTGCCCCTCATTTGCGGCTGCACTGGCATATAGCATGAAGATATATATAATATATATATAGTAGATATATATATACGAGGTGTGTTCAAAAAGTAAGGTGACTCTTCAAATTTCGCGAATTTCAAATTTTTCGATTATCGAAACCTTTTAGAAGTTATACGAGGTGTGTTCAAAAGTAAGGTGACTTTTCAAATTTCAAATTTTTCAAATTTTTCGATTATCTTCAGTTTTGGGAACAAGAAAAAGTCACATGGGGCCAAATCCGGTGAATATGGTGGCTGAGGCATTATTGTGGTGTTGTTTTTGGCCAAAAAATCCAAATCCTTTGATCCATATTTTTCGATAGCAAAAAATCGCCGAGCTCGCAAAATAACTTGTAACTTTACGCCTCTCACAACCAAACAAAAGAGGATGTTCCATTGAAACTTGGTACAGATGTTAGGGAAGAGTGTACCAATATAACAAAACAAAAAAATCGATAATCGAAAAATTTGAAATTCGCGAAATTTGAAGAGTCACCTTACTTTTTGAACACACCTCGTATAAGAAGTAAGAATTAGAAAAATGAACAAAAACCACCTGCCCCGCCCCGTTTGTCGTGGTGTTTGGTGTTGTTAAAAGCTGCGGCCACTTTTTGCAGCTGCTCGGCTGCTCGGCATGTGTGTGTGCCTAAAAGGCCATTGTAGTTCCTTTTCTGGCTAAAATTTAAGTTGCCCACCCAAAAACTCACTCCCCACCCACACACACACCCACACACACACTTTGCCATCCCGCACATGTTAATTGTGCTCCGGAACCAGGGCACGGGTTTTCTTGGTCCTAGCCTTTTGGCTGGTCTCGGAACAGTTGGCCTGCTCTGCCTTCTCCTCCTCCTCCTCCAGCAAGTCCTTTTCCTTTATGCATTTATAATATCTTAACTTGTTCTCAACTGGATTTGCCTCTTGAATTTGTCAGCAGCATGCTCGCCCTGTAAAAATAATGAGCCTCCTTTTTCTCATAAGTATGAAAGTGGCTCGAAAAAGTTGTCATTTGAATGCAGTCAAGCCGGAAGAGCTGAAAGTAATTAGAAGAGTCCAGTTGGGCATGTTAGTGGCAAGGGGTTTCGGCGGGTCCAACAGATCCACAGCGCTCACGTATGGAATACCAAAAGATATAATGAGCAATCTGGTTGGCTGATTGGACAGTTAGGAAAGCTATCGCGAAGGGTTGTGGTCGCAGGGCCAGGCCGCCCACCATGTCAATGGCAATTTATACAAATAAGGGGTAAGGAGGGGGAGGGAGTGGGAGTTTGTTTACCTGGTCTATGGACTATCTATCTACCTACCTACTAACTGTCCACAGGATACACGATGTTGCGGCTAGCATGGCTAGGCTAGGCAACTCTCCTCACCGAGTTGGGCAAACAATCATAAATAAAGCAAGCAATCAAACATGCTGTTGTACTCTGATTACCCTAATTTGTATGCCACAATTTGACACATGACAATTGACACTTAGTTACAATGGGGGGGAAGCCAACAACATGGGGCAACATGAGGCTATGCATGAGGCACTGCAGCCGCCGCACACCGCACAGCGCACATATTTGGCAATCATTTATTTTAGAGCCAATTGAATTTTAAGTAGTCAAACATGCATATGACATAAGTACGCAGCCACACACGCATGACAATGCACCCAGACACAACAGTCAAACACACACACACACACACACCCATGTATAGGTTGTGCAAACATTCGCATCCCGATGCATGTGTCCTGTCGATAAAAGGCTCCAAACTCTGGGCTTCAGAGCAGGAAGCCATCTGCCTCTTTTCTCTCTCTCTCTGTTTGTGCCCCAAAAAGTTGCCTGGCTGGCTGATCGCCCTTTCAAATCATGGCCATAAATATGACAACTTGAATTCATTGAATGGTTTCATTTCATTGTTCGTCGAGTGGGTGGGAAAATTAATTGGCCCAACTATTTGGCTTTAACAGCCACTAAACGCGGCCAAAAACCCACCCTCCCCTTCCCACTCCTCTCGCGTTGGCAGTGTCGTGCGAGTGTCATCGCAGATTAAAACTCAAAATTGATGGGGGCAATGTTTGCAGTTTTATTGTCATGGCCGTTGGACACGAAAGCAGAAGCCTTAATTCGATTTTCCCCCAAAAATTCCAACAGACAGGCACCTACTTTTTTGGGCACCTTCTCAGGGCGAATCGTAAAAGTTGGAAGGGTAGTTGCACTCGCTTAGGAACCTACCTTCCTCCCTATCTATACTCCTAGATACCTATATATATCGTCGTGGTCCATCAGTTGTTTCAATGCGAGATTCGCACTCGCAAAGTTATTGTTGTCGTCGCTTTGACAAAAGCTGCTCTCGGCTCTGGATGTGGATGTGAATGTTCTGATGGTGGATACTGGATCATCCCATCATCCTCATCATCATCATCATCATCACGTGGCGCGTTGGTCCCTCCATCCGGTTCCTGTGTTGCTCTTCCTGCCGCACAGCCGGTATCTGGCCAAGGGGCACAAAAAATCAAACGGTAGGGAGTAGTAGCTTGTCATCGGCATCGTGAAGTAGAAATACAGTGGAATGATGTCCTTGGTGTCATTCTTTTTCTACAGCGCTACACCTCCTGGCCTCCAAAGCCAAAGCGGGAGAGCCCATGAATAATTCCACTTCAATTCCACTTTGTATATTTCATTTTTGCAGTCAGTCAGTCAGTGCAGTCAGTTCAGTCAGTGCAGCATACATCACGGTGGCAGCAACAGCGTCAGCGACAGACGAAAAGGAGGCAAAGTAAGCCAAGGATGGGCCTGCTGATTGGCTTTGCTGATGGTTGACTGGCTGACTGGCTGGCTAGCTGACTGACTGACTGACTGACTAACTGACGACCGAGTTTGCTTTATCTCCTCTTATTAATTAATAACAATTCATAGGCCAATCCCACTTAGCAGAGCCAGTTAATCCCCTTTGCTCATAGAGGGGAGTATTTTGATTGGTAATCTGAAAGAGGTAAAGGTATCGCATAGTCGTTTTACTGTGACAGCCACACTCTGGCCTCTGTTTTGGTTTTGTTTATGCCATCTCTCTCTCTCTCTCTGCACTTAAATAAACTTTTGTGTCAAAATTTTATCAATTATTCAGTTAAAATGCATGGCAAATCCTGTTAAAACTGCACCAGAAGTGGCATCAACAATAACAGCATCGATGACAATGGCATCGACAGTGGGCACAGAAACCAAAAAAGGCCAAGAGGGGGGAGAAGAAACCATGTCACTGGCCACATATGGCCATTTGTCAATTGAATGATGGGGAATATGAATTTATGGCATTAAAATCTTTTGGTTTTTCGGCCGTTTGGGCCAAGTGAAAGCGAACATAAAAAGCAAAAAAAAAAAAACAAAAAGTAAAAAATCAGTAAAAACCGGAAAACAAAGAGTTGGTGTGAAAGCGGACAAAAGCTGACTAGGATCAGAAGGCCCGGCAAAAGCGGATTATTCGTGGAAAAAAGCAAACTGCAGCCCAGCAAAAAGAAATGGGGATCAAAGAGAAAACAATGCAAATACGAATATTCGACGATATGGCGAAATGGCATTGTTGCATACAAGTCAATTGAAAACACACACGACGATTGCCACATTTTCTGCTGTGCTGTTGAATGCCACCAAAAGCTGAGAGGGGAAGGTAGGGATAGGCAGAAAGAGAGCTGGAAACAAGAAGGTGTAAAAGAGCATTAGCCAGAGCAGTCTACTTACTTTACTCGATTTGTCACTCTTAAATTTT